AAGTTGCGTTTTGACACATGAGTTTGTGGCAGGGGGGGGGGGGGGTGTTGAAGCAACTACAACTGTGACATACTTTGATGTAAATATTCACGGCTGCTTACTACAACCGTGGGGGGGTAGATATCTAAGATCGGAACTCACACGTCTGGGTAGTTTGGTGGACATTTGACCTGAAGTTCTACAGTCACATAACATTCCTGGCCGTAGTTCAGGCCTTTAGGGCGCAAACAGAGATGCACCTCAGGAGGTCTTTTCACCTAAGATGCGGAAGATGGGGGTCAAGAAAAGGATATACAGTACTGTACATACAATATTGTTTTGAGGGGTGTGTTCGCCAGTGTTAACAGTGGTGCGTCGCAATTACCTTCCACGGATCCTTTTGGCGCAGATCCTGGAAGTCTTTCTCAAAAATAGATGCGAGCGCCTCCAACTCATTTTCCTGTTGGACCGTGTGGTCGTCTGTGGCCTCTGTGGGAAAGAATTGACCACTCATTCTTCTTCTGCCGCGTCTACATGGTAGCCTTCCCTCACCCTGCCCAGTCAGCCGAGAAAGCGGAAGACAAGTCTTAAGTAAACCCCCGAGCCGCCCCTTCACTCGCTGCAGTTCAAGCCTTTCACTCTTTTTCACACTTTTTTTACACAAACTAGAAAGCTCGAATTTAGCTTCGTACGCCTTCGGTAAGTGTGTTTTGTCGCGTGTCTGTCACACCACCCGTCGCAGATGTAAACGTCATCAGATTCCTTTCTCAAAAATGAGACCTAGAGGGCAGCAACGAGCGTAAATTAGGGCCGATTTGGATTTAGCCGTCACAAACCGGTTCACCACCGTGCCTATGAAGCGGCCATGTTGGCAGGGGCAACGTTCCCATCGAAGGCAATGCACGGAAATTAAAATTATCGATCCGCCACTGGCCCGCAGGCTACTCATGTGATCCTTGGAGGCTGTTTGTTGCCCCCACTGATCATGTTGGTGACACTCGATCTCACGACATTCAATAAGAATCAAAAGCATCATTGTCTATATTTTGGGCAAACAAATTCAAACTATAGTATCAATAAATAAAACTGTGTGAAAAAAAATTCCTCCATCCAATAGATTCTCGCACCACGTTGGCAGCTTGTTACCGTAATGTAATGCATAAATAGATATTGAAAAGTAAGGAGGTTGGCTTGACTTTGTCTTTTCAAGCTGAGGCTGGCTTGACGAGGGTAAATATTCTACCTTTACAAAGGTAATAATGCACAGTTTTGATTGGCACAATGATGAGGTATTCATTTAACAGTTTGTTAATTATTGCCAGTTGCTTTTTTTGACACCTTGGAGGCCTGCAGGTAAGAAGGACCATAGAACCCCCAACCCCCACCCCCATAAAAAAAAAAAAAGAAAAAGAATTTGAGAAAAATAAAATCCAAGAGCTGGAATTGAAAGTTCTGCCCTGAATGATAGAGGCACAGTATCAATGTCGGTTCATTATTTTGGAATGAATTAATTTGGTGATTTCTCTTAAGAGCGAGTGCAGTTTAACTGTGTGTTGTTTTGCATTGACAATAATGCTCATAGTGCTCATCTTACTTACACAATCTACTTTGTCACACGCTAATCCAATCGCACTCTTAACATTTCATTGGCTGATTTGTAGTGTGTCCCAAGTGTCTGCAAGTACAGGTATGTGCATTGGATGCAAAGAGGCCACTGTGCGAACGGATATGATAAGGTGCCTAAGGTTGAAATATTAATGGACTATTTCAACCTTGGAAATAATGTACATATTTTTTACTTTCTTATTCTGCTTATACTTGTTTCATTAAGTATATACTTAATTGCAGAGGTCACCGAAACTGACAAATAAGCATGCTGCATATTACAAACTAATATATACAATGTAGTATATTAAGCACAGTTGATTGGAGGCATGGCATCTGTTTGTTTGGAGGCCACATGGCTGAGGAAATACATTGTGGGCTATACAATACTGGACACGCAGACTTTAATTATTTGAACCGTAACTGGGGAAGTACATTCCTTGTGTGTTTTACATAAGTGGCTAATACATCTGACTTTGAAATACAGGACGACAATACAATTTACGCACACACTCACCCAAGCGCACACACGTGCACACACACACACACACACACACACACACACACACACACACACACACACACACACACACACACACACACACACACCAGTCACTACTTTCCCCAGAAGAGCTAGGACAGTTAAATTTGCACAGGTAGCAGAAGGTCGATGCAAATCCCTGTCAGGAGCAGGGTTGAATAATGATTAAAGGGGATTAGGAGGAGGGTCATTGCTTGGCTAGTAGTGCTTGTGGCTGCCTTTATACAACCTGTCTGTCTACTACTACTATCATTGTGCTACCATACTCCTTGCTTTATTTGAGCATGCCTTGAAGACAAGAACAAAAAGATGAGTTGGAAAACTTACTTGAGCCTTTCTGTTAATCGCTAAGCAGTTAAGGTAAGTGGACGGGACAAGGGACAGCTTATCACCCAATGATTTTTATTGAACATTTTATTGACATTGTAAGGTGCTTTTTCATTCCGGAAGTATAAAGACGTCTTTGATATTTGGTCATGTTTGTTGTCAGAGCATGTAAAATAGTGTGTAATACACAAAATCAACAGCGTCAACACAAACAGGCTAAGCTGCTTATGAAAGGACCCCTGGCACTTTCTACATCTTCTCACCAAATCGACAGCTCCTGTTCTTGAATTACTATCTTCATCCATCCACAGGAAAAAAACAGGCGATATAAGCAATGGCCGTTTTGAAAGTGACCTTTACCAAGACCAAGAGGGACAAACTAGCTCAGGCGCTTTGGATCCTAAATTGGATCTCCGTGGGGACGGGCGTGATCCTTTTCAGCCTGGGCCTCTTCCTGAAAGTGGAGCTCAACAAGCGGTGGGAGCTGATGGCCGACACGGACATTCAGTATGTTCCCAACATGCTCATATCCGTCGGCCTCATTGCCTGTGCCATTAACTTCCTGGGCGGGAAGATCTGCTACGACTGCGTCGACACGGCCAAGTTCCTCCGCTGGAAGCTAATCATGTTGCCCTACATTGTATGCACCTTCTTCTTTACCTTCTGCGTGCTGGTGGGGGCTCTCATGTGCTACACCATGCACTGGGAGCTGGATGAGTCCCTGCGAGAAGGCCTAAGCAAGGCCATGAAGTACTACAAGGATACGGACACACCGGGAAGATGCTTCTTGAAGCGTGCCGTGGACATGCTTCAGATAGAGTTCCAGTGCTGCGGCAACAAGGGTTATAAAGACTGGTTCCGAATCCAGTGGATCAGCAACCGATACCTGGACATGTCTCACAGAGAAGTGGTTGAGTAAGTACCAAAGCACACGTTAATCAGCACAGGTCGCTCTTTCTGGTATGAGAAATATGTGAGGATGCAAAGGTTGACGTTTCAAACAGAGTGGGGGGTTGTGAAAAGAAGCACAAGGCACCAGTAATGCTACCTGGCGAAACAATCCTT